CGATAATGGATCGGCTTGTCGAATACCCCTCTCGGGTGAAAGACAATCAAACGCACTTCATTTAAAATGAAAGAATATGTCACTGTTGTCACACATTTCATGATCAATTCGACCAGTCGGGCATCAAGACATAGTTTTAGCATAACCTTCTCCAAAAACGACCATTCTATACGATCATAGGCTTTACTCATATCAAGTTTAATAGCCATGTGATCCACCACAATTCTTTTCATATAATGTGCAACTTCATATGCCACAAGAATATTATCCGAGATAAGTCTCGACGGAACAAATGCGGACTGCGAATCTGAGATAATCCTATCCATAAAAGGCTTCAATCGATTGGTGATAACCTTAGAGGCTATTTTATACACCACCTTACTTTAAGGCAGGGCGGAATTGGGTCGTATTTTCGGGACTAGTACATTTAGGAATAAGGCAAATATGCGTAAAATTGCATGTCAATGGAAACTCCATATGGTTAAGAAAACGTAACATCCATCGGGTTACATCATTCCCTACTATGTGCCAAAAATGTTGGAAAAAGATAACTGGAAAGCCATCTGGGCCCGAAGATTTTAGTGGATGCATACAGTCGAGTGCTTGTTTGACCTCTGTAGCTATATTCCCGAGTTAACTCCTCATTCATCTCTTGGCTCACCCTCGGTTCAATGGCCGTCAGTACCTCATTCAACTGTTCTGCCGAAGGATTTTTTTGATGTAAATATTGTTCAAAAATACTCTATAACTATACATTCCAATCCAGCATCGTCTTCGCACCACTCCCCTGTTGCGTTCCAAAGTCCCAAGATCGTATTTTTCTTTCTACATGAAGAAGCCTGAGCATGGAAATCTTTAGTATGTTTATCGCCTTCCTTCATCCAGTGAGCTTTAGCCCGTTGCCTCCACATCATCTCTTCTTTATCCGACAAAATCTCTAGCTCAGACGAAAAATCTCGTATTTGTTTGCAGACTTCACCCGTCATTATACTCTTTTTAAGAAAATTGAGCTTTTCCTTCAATTTGTTGATCTGTTTGGTTATCCCTCCAAATGAGTGTTTAAAATCAGTGGTAGTTTTTACATTTTTCATTAAATGTAAAAACTCAATATATACCAACTGATTCAAACTCCATTAAAAATTGTTTACCAAATTCCATAGATTTCTTAAACCAAAATCAAT